TGTGGTAATCACATGCCCAATTTTTAGCTGAGTCATAATTATCTTGAGTTAAGGATATTTCCCCAAGTCCTTTACAAGTTGGCTGGCATGTGACTAAATTCTGATTAATGACATATCAGCAGAAATAGTGCATGTAACTTCCTTAAGTACCTTTCAAGGGGAGGGGACAAGCCCTTCTCCTCATTCCTCCTTCCTATGAGCTGGAACAACTACGATTTGAGGAGTGGAGGCCACAGATTAGTACATCACACTAATACCTATTGCCCTGCACAGAGCATAAACAGTAAGTATTTATGGGTTGATCAGTTGGACTATAATTTTTTTATTTAAAAATATGTAATTTTTATTTTGAAGAAATATAGATTATCTATTCAATTTTTATCCAATTCTGAAGCAATTTCTATAGCATCCTGACAAGTGTTTGCTAAGCTTTCTTTAAAATCTGCTTAGCAAGGCACTCACTACTTCATGATACAATTTATTAAAACATTTATTTTTACATTCATAAGGTTATCACAGTGGCACTCTGGAAGGACGGAAGTAAACACATAGACGCAAAGTCCATCTTGAACCTGGAAGTCCTATAAATTTTGAATCTCTCTTAATGTTAACACTTCTTTGTAACAAATTGAGATTTGTTTCCCCATTAACTTCTCCATTTTGGTTCTTAGCTGAGTTTGGAGATGAAGAGACCAGGTTAGTAAAGAGAGCTTGTTTGGCAAATTGAGGAACGCATGCCCTCTCTAAAGGAGGTGATTTTTACTCAGCTCCAGCCAACTGTATAATCCAGGAAATTGCTCTTTTGTCCTGCCCCAAAGCTTTATTTATCCTCAGTTTTAGAATGAGTTTCAGTAAAAAACAAAAATTAACACCAATAGGACAATCACAACATATCTGCATGCTCTGTCTGGCCTAAAGTTCCCCAGAATGTGACCACTATGTTAGACTGACATGGTTTAAGAATAACCCCTCCCCTCTGGACCCTTTTTGTATCAGCAGCTTTGTTATGCCTTATAGCTGAAAAATGATAAGAAAAAAATTTGAGAACAGGAAAACCAGACACTGGGGAGACTCAGCGTCTCCTCGTGCCTCTTGGTGAGAGACAGTGAAATTGTGTATTGACATGGAAAATTCCATCACAGTAGGGCTGGGGCTGATAGGAAAAGTGATAGGTCTTTCATATCTGTACACGGTTCCCATCTTTGTATGGCTTTAATCATCAACAGAGCTTTTTCAAAGGCAGAGCATCAGTAGTGTGCAAGCCTGTGGGAACTGCCTCCTGCTAAGAACAATCACGAACCCTGTCTGTTTACTGTTATTCAAGCACCCATGAATGCCTATTACTTCTGTTGTCCTGCCTAAGTTTTCCTTGTGTTTGTAAAGCTATCTTGAGACATTATCACTTTCTTTTAAACTAAAATTCAATTATATAATATATCTTTTGATTGCCTCCACTTTTTGGCTTCCTTTAGCTAACAAAATTTCCTGAAGTGCTCACAGCCTGGTGTTCAACTCTTCATTCTAGAATTATGCTGTGAATCAACCTCTAAATTGCTAGTTAGTAGTTTCTGGAATCTATCTTTTTTTTCATGTTAAAAATTTGAAATATTTCCTTATTACATATTTCTGGAATTTTTTGTATTTGTCACAGTTCAGTAATTACTAACAGATGGCGCCATGATTTTATGTGTAGATTTTGTTTCCTGGGGTGTAATTAGTTAGAACCCAAGATCTTAAAGTTGTTTAAAACAGCCCAATGCTCTTGTATTATTTTGACTTTTTCTTTGCTTGTTTGTTCACCAAATATTTATGTAAACCTGAAGTGTTTGGGCTCAACGTTGGGGATGGAACTGTAATAACTAGATATAGATTTTGCTTTCTAAGACTTTGTCTCATAACAATAATAGTTAAAGGAATTGAGTGTTGTGTGTGTACAAGGACTACACATCAGATGTTTGCCTCCTAAATATTCATTTTTTCCTTATAGTATCATGGGGTTGATGCCATTCACTTTATAGAATGGGCTGCTGAACAAGGAACCTAAGGAGTATTGAAGACTTCACAAGTCTTTGGTAGAAGTATTAGTATTTAAATATAAAGTTTGTATTCACATCAGGTTATAATTCTGGCTCATTAGCCTTAACTTAATTTGAAATTCTGTTTCCTATTAATCCAGTTGACTGTGCCAGTTTTTGTTTTAAGGTCATTCTTCTTAATAAAAAAACCAGAAACAAAATAGCATTCAGAAGTAGTGCTTATTTTCTATCACACACAGATGTACCCTAATTCCATCAGTGCACATGTATGACTGTGCAATACTGATAGAAGTATAATATTACATCACCTTCCAATCCTGGGGAACGTTCTTTTTCCTCCTCCTTTTTCTGAAAGTGTTAAGCATACTTGTAAATACTTGTAAATAGCCTTTATGTTGTTTTTGAGACAGAAAGTAGAATGATGATTATCAGGGGAGGTGGGGGAAATGGAGCAATATTGGTCAAAGGGTATAAAGATGCGGTGACATAGGATGAATAAATCTAAAGATCTGATGTACAGCATGATGACTACAGTTAATAATACTGTATTGAATACTGGAAATTTAATAAGAGAGTAGATTTCAGGTGCTCTCCTCAGACACTCAAAAAATGGTAATTATGTGAAGAGATAATTAGCTTGACTATAGTGATTATTTCACTGTGTATATGTATATCAAATCATCATTTGCAGACCTTAAATATATACAATTTTTATTAAAAAAAAGAAAATGCCTTTTTCCCCTGTGTTTTTATCCTTATTAGGATGGTACACAGCTATTACCTTTTTCTCTCTAACTGAAATATCTTGTCTTTCAGTATATTTGATAATAACAGTAATTCTTCCCATCCCCTACATTTCTGGAAATCAATTTTTCTTAAGTCCAAGATGCATGTGAGACCAGGTCTTGGGTTCTCTTCCTTGACTAAAGTGACAGGCTATTTTTTCTTCTAAGCTTCCTGCCACTCTAATTCATCAATAAATTATTTTGATAATAATTAATTCTGGAGCACATGTAACCTTTGTTACTGCCTCACTGGACATGAAAAGTTACCAAGATAACTTAATAACATTTGCTTTGCTTTGATCAGTGTAAGATTTCCAGTCAAATCTAAAGAGATGAAATTGCCCAACTCCTGGTAGGCATCTTTGCTAATAAAATACAGCCTGTATCAGAAAACATATTTTATTCTCCCAGCCTGCTCAGTGGTCAGTAGCAGCCAAAAATATTCTCAATGAAATAGACGTTGTTCTTTACTTAGAGTCAGAAGACCAGTGTCCAAGTCTTGATAATAATTTCCTCTTAGCAGCACCATCACCTTTTAGAAGTAACTGATCTTCTCTGCATCTTTTCTTTCTATAAAATGGGATCAAATGGAATAATGTGAAAGAGGTATCTTAAAAATATTATAGGCACTAGTAAAATAAAAAATAACAACAGACACTCTTGTATATTTCACCACTTTTGGTGCCCTAATCTAGCTGAGTATCTACCAAGCAGACTCAGATAGACCTTAGGTGGTCATTTGTTTTGTTTGTTTTGGCTTCAGATTAAAAACTAACTTTAATGAATATTCCAAAACTTTATTTTTTTCCAACAAAAGTCATAGTCAAGATATGCTGGTGTGCATTTTTATTTGTTACAATTTAGTATGACATGTTATTTTACTAATTGAAAGATTACGTAAATGCCCTGCTGGTACTAATGGAATAATTGTCATGACAAATTGATTCCCAGAGGACTCAATTATTATGTAGACCCTGTTGCTCTATAAAATTCTTTCAAATATTTATTTAAAAGAGGATAGTTTATTATCTTGTATATACCTTGGCATCAAACTAAACTGCATTTGAATTTTGGCTCTGAAAAATACTGGCTGTGTAATCTTAGGCAAGAAGTAATTTTAATTCTCCAAGGCTCAGTTAATTCATATAAAAAGTGGTGATAAAAATCTTTTCTTGCTACCTGTGAAGAATAAATGCACTATTGTAAGATATTGTGCATAAAAAGTGCATTATCTGCTGTTAATTACTATACTTATTCTTAAAATATATGCCACTGTACACCATTATAAAGTTAGGAGTCCATCTAAGGTTATATGATTGTGTTGAACAACTCCAGGGGGTGCCATTTCCATAGCCTTCCATGTAAGTGGCATGCCCTGTAGTGGTTCAAAGACTTGGCTTTGAACTCAAGTTCATGACTTAATGGTCTCCTAATACTACTACTAATAAAAAACAAACAAACAAACAAAGAACTTGGCACTGTGCTAAATGATGGGGAAACAAAAACAAATAGGACACCATCCCTTTTCTAATAAAGCATATAATTTAATAAAAATTTTAGAATATTATGCTATAGAGAAAACAGAATTAAGGCCCTTTGCTTTGTAGACAGCTCCTTAGTGCACATTAGGGGTTGTTGCCTTCTCTGTGCATTGTAGAGTGGGATGCCGGGGGATGCAAGCTTTGTGCCACACCCCACGACTTGAAGAGTAAACTCAGGCAGAAATGAGATTTCCTTATTAGCAAGGTGCCTTTGTGTAAAGCATGACCTGCACCGCTGTACTCGGAGACTCTGAATCGAAGTTTATACCATTGTTTTTGGATTTGCTGTCATGGAAGATCCAGTGATACCAGTGAAACCTCAAAATTTGGCATTATTTGTCTAAAGCCAAGTGACCATGTCTTGGTTCATTGTTGTAGTCAATGAAATATTAATCTTGGCATTTAAAATAATTGAGCAGCAATTAAAAGTTTTACTATACTGTTTAGAGAAAATGCCAAAAGGATTTAATTGCATTCATGCAACAGAGTGCATACAACAGAACTTCTTAATTTTGTGTGTGTGTGTCTTTCTCTTTCAGTATCTCATACCCACAGTTGGGTGGGAGAGGAGGAAATATGTTTCTTCTCATCCCATTAGTATATCATCAGATTTTTATAATAATTGGTTTTATTTACAGGTAAAATGAAGATGAAGAATGTTCTGACAGTCTGATATTTAAGAAAAAAATTCTCATTTGCAGACATCATTGAAGTCCCATAGAGTTGGTGAGTTAAACTGGCATATTTCCTTTTTATTCAATACTAGCTAAAGTTAGTACTGTATTATAAATTACTTGTTGCCCACAAGTCTTGTGAAATATACCACAAACTAAAGTTTAAATAAAACAAACTGCTGTACTTTCTTTTGACTCCTAACCCTAAAAGCTCACGAAAAATATATACACTTCGGGATAGGGAACAGATAATTAAAGGTTGCCTATGATTCTGAAGCTGAGCGTGTTCAGTCCGGGTAATTACACCAAATCAGGCAGAAACACTATTATCAGCTGTTAAATGCTATTGTACCGCTAGGCTTTTTTACCTTTGTTTTTCCACTTGAGATGAGACATGACACCTTAATTGAATATATCCTCAAGTTGATGACAAATTTTAAAATATACAAAAGTACTTTCCCCCTACTGAGGACTCAAGAACAGTTCTAAAAGTAGCTGAAGCCAATCTCAAAGTCTACAGATAACGATGTATTTTACCTGATGCTTCTGAAGTCTCTTCTGGTGGGGCACTAAATACCTTTATAATTATAATTCACAGTTTAAGCTCTTAAAATGTACTTTTTGAATCAGCTTTTTACTTCTTTTATTCACTCACTGCTCTATTTGAGTGAGGCTAGTCTGAAAACCAGATTGAGAAGCGCGTCATTGTAGAATTCGTAAGTTCACGAGGACTTGTTTTGCCCAACACCCCAGTTTGCAGATAAGGACAATGAAACACGTAGAATTTAGTAGCCTGAGAAAAGTCATCAAGCTCACCTGTGGCCTGTCAAGAACTGATACCCAATGCCCAGTGTGCTTTTCAACTCTAGAATGCTCTCAGGAGTTTCAGGGTTCAGAGCTCAAGCTGATGTCAGCACTTTGACAAGAGTGAAGTCAGGGAGCACTATTCAAACTGTATTTTATAATGTCCATCACTTAAACTTCAATAGTTGGAATAATCTAGCAAGATTGAGAGAGAGAAAAATTGTGACACAAAGATATGTATGTATATATAGATACAATATACGGATAGATATGATATAAATATGCATTTATATCTGTGTTCCAAAAGTATTTTTTGACTAATAGGATATG